TTTTTTTTTTTTTTTTTTTTCCAACTCCCGTGAGAACGAATATTTCTAAACGATTTCACGTTTTTCGTACGTATTTCTCAAACATATCTCGTAACCTGCAAACTCTTGTAGAGGAAAAAAAAAAAAATGATAATGATAACATGATTTACCGCCGAACCAACAGCTGCCTGGACAAAAGGAAAAAAAAAATATTCCTAACCTGAAACTATTACTCTGCGCTTAATACCGAATGACGATATCTCCCGGTAAATGGAATAAAGCTTGCCTGCGACCCACACTTGCTTAAATGGTAAGTAAATGTATGAAAAATACAAAAGCATAGCGTATAACACACACAACCCGTGACAGGATCGAACGACCTTGCTCTTCGCTCTTGCGCTCTCCCTTCCATCCGTCCAACAGACTCCCCTCTCCTTCGTCGCTAAAAACTGCGTACAAGTTTTAAGCACAGACAGCCCGAGCTTGCGGTTATTCTCTCGCTGATGCGTATAGCGCTTGCAACGGCGACGACGCGCTTTTACTCCTCGGGCGAGGATGGGCAAGAGTCAAGAGACGACAACGACCAGTAGGTAGTCCGACGACGGCCGGGTAACATCATCGCGTTTGCTGCCCTGTGGGTATATTTTGCATTGGGCCGTAAAGATAAGCGGAGAAAAGAGAGGACGTAATATATAGTGTACATGTACAACATGTGGGGAGTGCGTGACTCCTAGTGCGGCAAGCAGGTAAAGGTCGTGCAGAGAGAAAGAGAGACATGAGTCAAAGCTGTGAATCCTGCGTATCGCGAGTGAATCTCGACGTGTTTGCCTATTGGTCGTTGAACAAGATTGTTAATTGCTATACTTATGAAGAACAACCGCCAAACAATAGCTTGTGCCAGCGCAGAGAGCAGTAACTTCTTCACATCACTTATTGTACACAATCCATTTACTTATATTTACGCAGCGTGTCTTCGCCTTTTGTAAGTACATAAGTACAACCTTCCATGCAACTCTCGAAGACGATATACCGAAGAAGAAGAAGAAGAAGAAGAAGATAATATAGGAGAACAAAAGAGAAACAGAACGAACCGAATCTGCTCCTTATTTTTTCCCTCTCTTCTCTCTCTCTCTCTTTCTCGTTTTCTCTCTTCAAAGCGTCGTCGCACCTTTCTAGAGAGGGATACATAACAATCATCGCTGTGGTTGAGTGCCTAATAAAGCGTGTGTGTTCCATCGGCCATGCATACACGCGCGTAGCCGCATACACAATATATACATATACATAGCTCGTTACTTGAAAAACGGAGTCGTCCGGTCGTCGTCGTCGTAGCAGCATCGGTATATCTGTCAGTGCCTGTCCACGCATTGTCCTTGCAGGCAAAGCAAACAGTGTACACGAAAAGTCCCGGCACGAGGACGCCAGAACGGCATGAGAAGAGGACGCTCGATGCAGTGAGCCCGAGGGAACCGGGTTGTGTTGTATATATACGCATCAGGAGCACTGCACGGAGCGGCATGTAGCGCACGTCCTTTGCAACGGCTTCTATTGGCGGAGACCAAGTTAAGTAGCAGTTACAACTTTTCGGAGCAAGCCGGCTTCCTGGGTCACAGGGACGCTGCAGCTGCTGGTACAACCCTATCTGGCTGTCGTTGACCAGGATGCTGACCTCGCTGGCACCATGGCCGTGATTGGCGAGTCCAGGTGAGTGTGGAGGGCTTGTGTTACAATAATAGTGATGATTGTTCTTCTTGTGCTTTTGATTGTGTACCGTAAAATCAGATTGTCTGGGACTGAAATTTTTTGTTTGTGTCTCTTGAGTATAGAAAAAAACAATGATTTTATAATAAATAACTCTAAAAGACAAGTTTTAATTGACAATGTGAAGAGTTAATTTTTTTTTTTTTGTTACTTTCCAAGCAATACTTGGAAGAATGTTTTATTTATATTACCCCCCCCCCTCATTTTTATGTAACAAAGGTTCTTTTCTCTTATCTTTGTTATCTTTTGTTTGATAACACGAAATGTAATTTAAAAGCTATATCACGAATTTTTGGTGGTTAAAAAAATCATTGCTGTGCGGTGATATTATAAGCTATTATTATTTGGACATTTGGTCAAGTCAATGCTTTTTAAGGTCGTCAAACTTAAAGTAAAAGACTGTTTTTAATTTCAAAGAATTATAATATTTTATAAACGATCTTATCAGTAAAGTAATTAAAGACTTTTTTTAAAAACTAATTTGATTCAATTTTCCAAATAAGTAAAATAACATATTGATGATTTTGAAAGTATATTTAGCAGTATAGAAAAAGGTAATTTATACAAAATCAATACTTATTAATGCATTTTTTTTAGATATTATTCCCACGTACTGGCTAAAGAAGTCAAGGAATATTCAACCCGTGCCAACAAAGTGAGAACAAAATCACCTTCTGGTCGTCGATACCAGAGGCAAAAGGTTCATTTGAACCTTGAGAGAACTATGTGTTCTAAAGGAGGAGATCAAGTAGATTTCAGTGACAATGATGATTCGTACACAGACACTGAATCTCTCAGGTTACACTTTTGTTATTGATATTGCAAGTACTGAAGTGGCATGATTACAGAATTATGTCATCATGTCCAAATTTCTGTCCACTTTATTCTCATTTTTGTTATTCTTTGTAGGTATGAGTTGAAGAACATTCAGAGCGTCATCAACGTGACGCGACAGAACATCGATGCCATGAACAATAGATTCGCCGGCGATGAAGATCCGCCTTCGATTTATTTGACCGAGTACCACGAGCTCACGTCCAAGCTTCACGAGCTAGAGGCTAAGGAACGAGCGCTCAATGACATACTCAATTCGACACTGGAAGTCGAGGCAGCCATACCGACGAATGAAGTTTCCACCTATGAATTACAGAGTAGTATCAACAGTCGGCACCAGCAACATCGCGTCAGCATTTCCCGGCCCAAGACCCTCCGGGCGCTTTTGCCTAACCAGCAGCGCACGAGCGTACAAATGCGCGAGGGTCTATCCTTACGTGACGCCCTTGCCAAGCCGATGAAGCTACGCAACCTCACGACGGAAATGTGCGAGGTGTACATCATAGGCGAGGACGGCACTAAATCTGTACATCAGGTACCCTGGGAAAAGGACATCTCGACCCTCGAAAGCAACACGGTCTCTGTCGAGATCCTCGACAAGTTTCCCATACCGATTCAGATATCGCACAACTTTGTTCGCAAGACCTTTTTCTCGTTGGCGTTTTGCGATTGCTGCCACAAACTACTGTTCCAAGGCTTCATCTGCCGCACTTGCAGTTGGCGCTTCCATCAGCGCTGCACGGGCGGTGTGCCAAATCATTGCACGCGTGCTGGCATGGAAGACGCCTACATAAGGTTCATACTTGCCCAAAATATCGAGAGCAGATCGGGCATTCTACAGCTACCCACAAACTACACGTTGAATCGGGGAAGAGTGAACCGCAATCCTCTCGATAGGCACCCTCGTAGTCTTGGCCACCACGACCGCTCGAGCTCCGCGCCCAACGTCTGCTTCAACATGGTCAAGGTGCCCGGTGACTCGGAGAGCTTCATACTCGACTACGCGAGATCTCAGAGCTTGGGTAGGCCCGCGGCTCCTGGCACCACTCAGTCGCCAGTCTCGCCTGTTAGTAGCCCAACCAAGCACAGCCAGTCGACTCAAGCCAGTCCCACAAACACGTTGAGGCCAAAGCGACCCCGAGCCCGCTCAGCGGATGAAAGCTCCAAGAACCTGCTGGCACCGCGCGAGTCCATAGAAGACTGGGAGATCCCCGCTGACGAGATCCTTATTGGATCGCGCATAGGCTCCGGCTCCTTTGGAACGGTGTACAAGGCTCACTGGCACGGACCCGTCGCTGTCAAGACCCTCAACGTTAAGATTCCCACTCCGGCTCAACTGCAAGCGTTCAAAAACGAGGTAGCCGTGCTGCGTAAGACTCGCCACGTCAACATCCTTCTGTTCATGGGTTGTGTAAGCAAGCCCCGGCTGGCCATCGTGACGCAGTGGTGCGAGAGCTCGTCGCTCTACAGGCACCTGCACGTTTTCGAATCCAAGTTTCCGCTGCTGACGCTCATCGACATCGGGCGACAGACGGCTCAGGGCATGGATTACTTGCACGCCAAAAACATCATACATAGGGACCTTAAGAGTAACAATATCTTCCTTCACGACGATCTGACGGTAAAAATCGGCGATTTTGGATTAGCGACCGCGAAAATGAGGTGGACTGGTTCGCAGCAGTCCCGCTATCCTACCGGATCGATTTATTGGATGGCACCCGAGGTTATTCGCATGAAGGAAGAGAACCCCTACAGCCCGGCGTCGGATGTCTATGCTTTTGGAGTCGTGCTGTTCGAGCTGTTTGCCGGACAGATGCCCTACACGAACATCAATAACTCGGACCAGATCCTGTTCATGGTGGGCTGTGGTACCTTACGTCCGGATCTGAGTAAAATACGCTCGGAAACGCCAAAGCTGCTGAAGCATTTAACAGAGGATTGCATCAAGTTTTCGAGGGACGAGCGACCGAGTTTTCATCAGATCCTCGTGAGCCTGGAGAACCTGTTGCGTACTGTGCCGAAAATCACGAGGTCCACGTCCGAGCCAAATCTAAACAGAACTCATTTGCAGAGCGACGATTTTCTTTTTACGTGCGCGTCACCAAAGACACCCGTCAACTTTCAGTTTGGAGCTTTTCCGTTTTATCCAAGTGGTGGAAACATATGAAAGCGCGAGAAACTCTGGATCCAAGACACGACGACCACAACTGCGAGCTGTGTAACCGAGATATACAAGGCATTTTTGCAGTTGCACCGAGACTGGAGCAATCATTGCGCGAGACAGGCATAAACTTTCGTTCGTATAACGTACAAGTTACAACGTCGGATGAGAATAACAAAAGAGGGGGATGTATACTTTCTGTGGACAGTAGCAAGAGTTATTGCCATTCACGAGACTCTGCATTTCAGGAGTGAGTTCGAAACAGGAAGTTACTTACATGAATTTATTATATTGATATATTTCTCCTTTATGCGCTTGATTTTTCGGGATTGTGAACATAATTTTCTAATTGTAAATACATTTGCACTGTTGGATTGTAGAATATAATCAATTCAATATAATGGTACCGAAAAATATGGTTGATTGGTACGGAATTCATGTCTGAAAACTATTTGTTTTCAAAATGACTTGAATTAAAAAAATTTTTTCTTTCAGTGTACTTATTCAATCTTTATTAATGTATTTCGTCCAAAAAGACTTGAATCATTTCTTATGGTCACTAGTGTGATGCGTCACGTGAAAATTTCTTTTTTGCATCCACTCGGATACAATCTGCTTTCCCTTGTGTGATTGGTTAAAATAATCAATCGAGTTTGGTTAAATCCACGTGTTCATGTATGTACATACGTCTGTATACATAATTTTCTGAGTGTAACATACTTTCACACACTTTTCACGAAACATCATCGAGAACAAAAAAATTGTATGATATAAAAATATCGTATCAAAAATATATTTTTTAGACGTATGAATCGATCGTTGTGAAATGAAAATCACAGTTAATGAGTGTGATCAGTACTAATGTAAAATACAAGCGATAATTTATTTTCTTGATATTTTACGAAATGACTCTATTGAGTCTTGAGTAAACAATTAATTTAATAAAATCAACTAAAAAGAGATAACATAACTCGAACGTAAGTATCTTTTTTTTTTAAGAAATCTGGACTTAGTGATGAAACGTTTTTTCTGACGTGAGTTTCACTTGCAAGCATGCACGCAATTTTTTGCAAGTGCAATATACATTAGGAAATTGTTGATTATATGTATAATAATAACGAGATAACCAATTAAATTTCAAAATTTGAGAAATTCCTAATCAAGGAGTATAAATNGTGAGTTGTTTTTTCATCAAAAATTGTTTTACATGCAGTTGTTTAAATTACGCGTTATACTGTATAGTTTTGTTTTTAAAATTAAACCAAAAAAGTTCACTGCGTTACGAGAGTGTCACCATTGCATACATTTTTTGAAGTATTTTTAATTCATATGTAAGTTATAAAAAAAAAAAAAAAAAAAAAAAAAAAAAAAAAAAAAATTAATGTTAAATTATGCGTGCCACAACTACATTTCATACGTGTAACATAAGGACACATTATATCATTAAGGTAAACGAAAAAAAAAAAGTTATACAAAAATGAAAAAAAAAACATGTGAGTACATAGTGGTCCGTTCATTATTTTTCCGCGGCATCTTTAAAAAGGATGTAAAACTCTAAGGATAAATTTACTAGCGAGAATAATGTAAGTGTAAAAAATTAAATGGCGGCATTAAAAGTCGCACACATTGTAATTCCTAAATGGAGTGGCTGATAAAAATGAGACTTTTGTACCTTATGAACCTCGTCTCGAGTATTATGGTTGAATAAAAGCTCTTGTCTAATAATAAGTGAGATGGATGCATGTGTACTTTTGAGAAACGAAGAACGACTATTTGACGTGTATTTTTTTTCTGTTCTTGAACGAGAGTGAAAGACACGAAATGAGTGTATATATAATATGTGTGTCGATATACACGAGATAAATACTTGCTGAAGTAATTTGTGCTAATATCGAACATTTGCTATTATAGCAATGAAATGTGAACACGAAAAATTTTTCTTTTCTTTTTCTTTTACGTTTAGTATAAGTTCGAGCTCGATTTTTGTGTAAAGTTTGCACATTTGTTATCTTTTTTCCTTCTAGCTGTTTGACTAATAGACTTGCAATAAGTATGTTATGTACTTGATTATTTGCACAATAATTTATTACAGAACTTTGAAAATTGTTCTTCAAAGTTTTCGTCCAACTGGTGTCATGTGACTGGATTTGCAATCTTTGAAAATTGTACATAGATATTCAATAAAAACTTAAATTCATTTGAAAATCCTTTTCTGTCGTACATATACTTAAATATATATAACTTTTTGATTCCTTACTAGAAAGCTCCGACTCAGTCGATAAAAAAGTTTCCCTGGAAACAAAACAAATGTTGATGATTGATCAGTGCATTGATCCTTTTTTATTTATTTTTTATTTTTCGACTTTTAAGAATTAGTTTTTTTAAACTTGATTTAAAAATTCTTCATAAAAATAAAAACTAAAATCAGTGGTTCTCAAAATTTACTTTTTAATTCCTCGACGTATAG